GTGAGAGAGAGAGAGAGAGAGAGAGAGAGAGAGAGAGAGAGAGAGAGAGAGAGAGATCCGTTTGGGCCATGCACACGCGGGAGACATAGAATGTAGGCTTCCCACACACACACACACACAGAGAGAGAGAGAGAGAGAGAGAGAGAGAGAGAGAGATCCGTTCGGGTTATGCATGCGCGGGCAACCTAGAATGTATGCTTCCCACTCATTTTCGGAATTCAGTGGCATACTCACACCAGCCCTTTCCTCCATCTGACTGCAATTATGGCTGAACCTCGATGAATCTAACCATAATCACGTCCAGAGCTTAGCAGGAAATGTCCGAGTGTTAGTATGCTCTCACACAATGACTTTTCCTACTAAGCTCTGGACGTTATGGCGGTCCGATTCATCCAGGTATGGCCGTAGTTGCAGTCAGATACATTTTTGAGGGCGCCCTACTGCCTTCACCCAAATAGACGCCCGACATTATCGCTGTATCTAGACTTCAAGTTGCCCTAAATACAGTCATAAAGTCCTAGTGTGACTCGTAGTGTTTCAAGTTCAACGGATATCCTGAAGGACACTCTGAACGCACATAATGGATCTCTCAGGTCTGATACAGTCATGATGAGGTGAAGTGTGCTCTGGCGATAGCATTACTTCATTATGACTGTATCGGACCTGAGAGGTAGGTTGCGTGCATTCAGGGTGTGGAAAGAGTGCTGACAGGTTTTCTTCTTTTTTTTTTTCTTTTTTTTTTTTCCAACAGCCTTTTCACAAGGCTCATTCTTCTTGTTCCTATTTCAACCAAAAATAAGGAACAGGCCTGTCAGAGCCTCCTTTTCATAATGATTGCATCGGACCTTAAAGATCTGACGGATACACTACTAAACCATGGAACCGTGGGCCCTGGCCTCGGCGCGGCTTGAAAAAAAAATTGTGCGGCCTGTTCCTCATTTTTGGCAAGGCAGGGGAATTTCGTTTCAGACCCCCCCGCAACTTTTTTTTTTCGAGTTACCCCTATTTTTTCCCGTGCGGCGCACCAGGTGCGTGCGCCGTGTGCGCAATGCGCATTGCGCCGCACGTGTGTGATTGGCGCGCACGTGATGCGCCACAAGTATGCTTTCAACTCCTCCTGTGTCTAGAAGCTCCATTTTTCTAGCGCTTTTGCAAGCCTTTTGGCTTCCTGAATTGATCTCCGTCCTGCTCCGCCGTCGGTTTTTTTTCGACATTTCTTTATCACATGTCAGCTGGCCTAAGCTCAGTTGGTAACCCCATCAACGGTTGAAATGCAGCCTTGACTTCAAATCAGGATGAAGCCAGACGAACGAAATTAAAAATCAAATATTTCTGAACTATCTGGGACCGCTCAGTTCCACCTGTCTCCTCCTTAAGGAACAGGGATAGGATCTGTCCATGAATATCAATTAAAGAGCTGGCATCATTCCCATTGGTTAAATTCTTGCAGTGTCTAAAAGTTTGATTATTTTTTACACTCGTACTGTTGTACATGTCTTAGTTTCTCTTAAAGAATCCTCAGGGAACGTTTTTCCTCGTCTCTTACTTTAAAGAAAGAAAGAAACAAAGCAAACAAGACGATGCAAGCAGTGAAGATCTGAAACAGTTGTTGGCCTCGACTCATCGAGTAGCATTTGGCAGGTGTGCAATTCCATATTATCATGCAGCCTGATGATCTGAAACTGCGGTTGGCCTCGACTCATACCTGCCACTCTTGAAGAATTGTAGTCGGCAAACTCCTTTTGCATCTTCTGGGTACTCAACAGCATCCATGAAGATCTTCCCCACGAGCCATGGCGAGAGCAGTGAAAGGGCGGACCAAAACCAGAGCCAGCCCTCAAACATGTGCACTTGACATTGAGCACCCATAAGCAGAGTCGACTTCCCGAGTTGTAAATCTAACGGTGCTTCAAGATCCCCTGCTGCCATTGTTTCTGCCTTGCCCTCGAGCAACGGTAAGGGATCATACACAGGATCTGAAATGCACCCGTATTCCCCGATGTCATGCGAAGGAATGACGGCTTCTACTGCAAACCACGGTACACTCCTCCAGAACCGCATGTGGTCGTCCTTGCTTTCTAGCCCGAAAGATTTCGCGAGCAATGTCCTACGCGCCATCTCCTCTTGCCAACCCCTCTCAATGTCTGGCAATCCACCGGCCTCAGTGTCTTGAAGAAACACGGGCCCTGCAACTGCTGCTGAAGTCTCTTTTTCGCCAGCCACTAGAATTAGCAGGTCCTCTGTGGCATCCTTGGGCAGTTCTGAAAGTGATGTAACATCGGCACAAGGTTGTGGCTCAAGTGGCTCGTTCTCTCTTGGCCACGAAATCACAATAGATAGGGAAACGGCAGCTTCCTCCCCGTCAAGCGTGACTTCAGCAACAGGTGCAGTTGGTGCAGAGCAAAGACCTTCCCCTGGTGAGCGAACCATCTCAGGGAGCACGAAATCGAACGGGGTCTGTGACTTCTCTGTGAATAGTTGATCATGGACTGTGCAGAAGCTCTCCAGGGAAGCTGCTGTTTCCAGCAGGGGTACGGTCGGAACATGTGGCAGTTCAGCTGGCACTTGTACATCCTCACCTTTCAGCCAATGACCCTTGCTATCTTCATCTCCAGGCGGATAACCCTGTGGCTCAACAAGCAGCGCCAACTCAGCCACAACTGGGTATGCAGCCATCTCTAGGATGGGATTCTCGACGTGACACTCGTCAGCTTCTATTAGTCTGACATTTTGCCCCAATTCAATGTCAACAGGAACCGCAACAGTATCGAGCAGTGACTCTTCGGAAAGCAATGCAGGCGATGACAAGCTAACAGAAGTTTCTTCTTCTTCTAAAACAGCAATAACTTTGTGATCCGAGTGAATTGTCATGACGAAGCGGTGCACCTCGGGCTGCGCTTTCATCACGCCATTCAATGCTCGACCTCGCCTTTCCTTTGCCTTCACAAATGCCAGAGCCTTGATGATCACCTTGTATGTGCCCTGAGATAACGTGGCCTGTACCTGGCAAGTGGGGTGCTTCGTTTGTTTCCTTGCAACGTACTCCTCATCCTCGTCAACAACGAAAATCCCAGCCTCAAAGGTAGGGAGTGCGCCAATGCTGACAGACAGCAACACAATAGGCATAACTTGTTAGAGGAACAATGACAAACCCCCTTCCCTGCTCGTTTTCCTCTTCCATTTCTTGAGAATAATATCATTAGAGGGTAGAACAGAACCGGAATGTTGCTTGGGTGCCTTGCTGTCCTCTTTAGCTCTTTCAAAGAAAAACGAAAACATCATTCCAAAGCAACACGCGAGACAACCTTCCTTAAAGGAGACCGAGCAACCTTTCCTGTGAGGAGCAGCCATCCCCTCCAATGATCGCATTCCATAATCTCCTTCTTTTGATCATCACTCCCTTAAAGTGAAAAGCGGCTCTCATGTGATGCTGCCTCATAAACCACCACTACCCCCAGTGCCGGGTCGGCTTTCCTGGCCACACGGACCGGCTTTTACAGGGGGGCGGCGGCCAGGCGCAGGGGGGTCCAGTCCCGCAATTTTCAAGCACAAACTTTGGCGATTGACAAAAAAATCTGAAAATTGATTAGGTTGTGATCTATCCAGGAAAAATATCAGAAAAATAAAAGGAAACGTTTTCGACCACGAAATAAGTGCCGCGCCGATTCGTTGCATTTTCCATTTTTGCCACTCTCTCGCGTGTGGGCCAAAAGGAAAAAGTACCCCAACTTCCGCAATTTTTTGCACTCAGAAGAATTCGTTTCATTTTCCATTTTTGCCACTCTACCACATGTGGGCCAAAAGGAAAAAGTACCCCAACTTCTGGAATTTTTTGCACTCGGAAGAATTCGTTGCATTTTCCATTTTTGCCACTCTACCACGTGTGGGCCAAAAGGAAAAAGTACCCCAACTTCGGCAGTTTTTTGGACTCAGAAGAATGACTCAAAAGCTCTGAAAATTGGAGGGTCTGTAAGCTTGGCCGTGATCTTTCCATGAAAAAAACATTCAAACAAATAAAAAATAAAAAATAAAATCGTTCCAACCACAAATAGATTGCGGGTGAATTCAACGCATTTTCCATTTTTGCCACTCTGCCGGTTCTCCCCACTGTGCTACCGGTAGTCCTCATGAACCTGTGCTACCAGTCCCCCCAAATTTAGGACGGTGGGGGTAGCGGTGGTATAAGAAGACACTGTAGAGACTGATTTACCCAGGGTGGAAGGCCCAGTCAATTTTTTTTTTTGAACAGGTCTTTATGGCACCGCGCTTGCCTGTGGAAAGCGGACTGACACTCCCCAGAGTAGAGAATGGAGCCAGACATATATTACAAACCACGCGGCTGAATGGTTATGAAATGTTAACCTTAGAAATGAGATTTCGGATTTCGGGGTCCTTTGGGACATCTGTTAAAATTGGAACGATACAGAGAAGATTAGCATGGCCCCTGCGCAAAGATGACACAGCAAAAAAAAGAAAAAAGAAAAGAGAGATTTCTGGGGGGCCCCTCCTATCCAGTCCGTGGGGTTGAATGGAACACGTATCACTGTTGATAAGCAGGTCACGAGTTCGAGTCCCGCCAAATCAGATAGATACAATAATATTAGGGGCTTATCCCCTTAAATGAAGTTAAATCACCATTACATCCGAGCCTCTATTTCCCAAGGCGGATTTCCCCTCTGCAGAGTCCGCGCTAAAACAAGGTTACAGAACGTTCCGATACTGACCCTGAAGATCCATGGCAAATAACAGCACTTCATGTCCGCAATTTGGAGATGTCTGAATCGCCGCACTTCGTTCCCGGAGAGGCCTGCCTAGCCTTCACAACACGACCAGGCACAGGCGCGTTTTCTTTTTTTTCTCTTCGTGCTGCCAGGCAGTGCCAGCCATTTTGAGGTCCGAACTCCGAAGCACTGGTCATCTGAAAATAGTGATTGTCTACAAATTGTTGGGAACCTTTGCACGTGAAAGGTACCTGTGGTTTTAACTTTTAAATAATTAAAAAAATGGGCAAGAATGCACCCGACGTTCAGAATAGGCAACTTAAATTAGCCGTTCCCGAAATGGAGCAAAAAAGGCGACCCTAAATCTGCCAAGCGCCACTGTGGGTAATGACCGGCGCAGTTTTAGACCCCCGCTAAACTTGCACATTTCGAAACTCGCACCATGACATCAGCGCGCCACTTTGTCTTTTCTTGCCTATTTCAAACTCAAAGCGTGCCACAGCAACAGTTCCCCCTTTAAAAAAAAAAGACCTACGAGCCCCTGTGGAGTGCAGAAAAGATCCTGTCACCAAGTGGAAAACAAAAATGACTCGGTAGTCTGGCGAGGTCAACCAGCGCCTGTCATGTTGCAGCGGCACCCATCACTTGAAGTCACTGTGACAGGCTCTCTAAGTGTTGGGTGCCACTGTGACAGTGACTTTAAGTGATGGGTACCTTTCCTGAAGTTCCCTGATGCAGTACAATGACCTGTGGTTGGCGGACCCATCACTCAAAGTGAGACACTAAGGGATGGGTGCCACTGTGACAGTGACTTTAAGTGATGGGTACCTTCCCTGTAAGTTCATTGGACTGAATCAGCAACCCATATCTTTCAATTTCCACAGGGGCAACTGGTATGTACAACATCCAGAATAGAACAGAACCTCCCATGATTTCGGTGGGTGTGCATTTGCTACAGCTTGGTGGACTTTGATACTGGTGCTTGTAGGTCTGCCCGCAGTTGGGGAGAGAGAAAACGGAGAGAAGGCCTACATCGGAGCTGATCGCCAAGTTCAGGTATGAAAAGTGATGGTCCCGATGGACGAAAAAAAGCCTACATCGGTGCTGATCGCCAAGTTCAGGTATAAAAACTGATGGATGAAAAAAAAAAGCCTACATAGGAGCTGATCGCCAAGTTCAGGTATAAGAATTGATGGATGAAAAAAAAAACGACGTCGGAGTTGACTGCCAAGTTCAGGTATGAAAAGTGATGGATGAAAAAAACTTAAAAAAAAGCCTATACCGGAGCTGATCGCCAAGTTCAGGTATCAAAAGTGATGGATGAATAAAACTTACAGCCGCACATCTTCCTGATGCAGTCCAATGAACATGGTTGTTGATTCGGCAACCTCCAGACTCACGACTCTCACGTGTTCCGATGGCATCCCTCCAGGAGACTGATCGGCAAGGAAGGTAAACGAGCTCGTGATACAACGTTCATGCCATGCTTTTGCACCCTTATGCTTGACGCAGCAGACAGTCAAACCCTGGAAATTCTGCAGAGATACCAAACGCATTAAAGTTGATTGACAACATGACCACACCATATTCTACATGCTTCAGCTTGCTCATGCAAACCATCCAACCACTGTGCTCACCCAATGGACCAATAGCACATGTAAACGAAACAAGCAGTTTATTTTATTCACGTATCCGCTCATACACGCATCCCGCCGGACTCAGGGATGAGGTTAGTGTCTTATTGGCCGCCTGACACTTCAAGTCAAAACATCTGAATCGATCTCACACAAAACTGTCTGATTGTTAGTTTGTCTCAACTGAAGTGTTTTCGTCGTCTGCAACAGGACAGAGCTGCTTCGATTTTGGATCTACTCATCTGGGCGGAATAAGAGCTGTGGTGATGAAAATTCAAAACAACACACACACACACACACACACACACACACACACACACACACACACACACATTGCCAACCTACCACAGAAGGTGGTGACAAAGGGTAAAACTACCCATATTGTTTTGTTGCCTTGCCAGTCCGGAATCCACCTTCAGGAAGGGAGGAGGGAATCAGTCTGTCACAGAACCATATCACAACATAGGAAACAAGCTTTCACACGCGGTACCATTAGTCACATTCCAATAAGAATTCCCCACGGCCCACGGGTACGTTTACAATATTTTAACTACCACAGGAAACAAGCTTTCACACGCGGTACCATTAGTCACATTCAGCCTTCCTTTGCCGATTGTCTTTTCCTGAATAGATGACATGCACCGCATTAGCTATTTTTATGATTTGTGTTCTTGATTTTATACAATACTGCACTGAGAGCAAACCTTTACCAAATATAGCAACAATAAAATTGGGTGCTACCATCATGGTTCAGGACCCAACAATGGTCTTACGCCTGACTACATATCATCATGCAGCAGTGTGACTGGTCAGGAAAGAGACATGGGTGAACCCTTTGCCAGCAACATAACACGGAGATTGTACGATTCCTCTTACTTTCTTCTCAAGATAATCTCTCTGAGGCAAAAGCTGAAGATCATTGGCTACAATCATCCAATCAAGGCAGTTCACAACCATTGGACTCTGCAGAGCTTCAAGCTTCGAACAGCACTTCCTGAAATCCAGTCCTGGAGCGTCAGCTGCAACACTCATTGGTTGTGTGGGTGTATAAGGGACGGCATTAGGGAGTTACGATGACCAGTCACCCCCAGGCTGGATGTACCATGGCAAGTCTGATTGTGCGACCCACACCCATTTTTAAAGGAGGGGGGGGAGGGGGAGAAGGGGGGGGAACCTTTAAAAACACTCCTTGGTATCAGGCTATCAGCAGAGTTTCAAGCTTCGGCCACCACTTCCCGAAATCCAGTTCTGAAGAGAGAGTTCCCTCTGCCATCGGTTCATTTCTGTCGTCATGTGAAACAGGGAGGCTAACAGCAAGGCGCATATAGGTTCCACATGCTCTCAACTGACCTCTAGGAAATCGGACCATGTCATCCAGAAATATCCATCGTCCTTGGAGAACGTCGGTCGGATCTGCTCTTTAATTTCTGGATGCTGCTCCCATTCCACACTGTTGTCGCTCCAAGCACCGTTCCATTCGAAGCTTCCCCAAGGATTCCTGATGTGAAGAAGTCGGTGCCCTGCTATGTTCTTGACCTGCACACAAACGCACCGTACCACTTCAGTTTTGCATAATCCGGCGCCCTCCCCCACCCAACGAACAGAAAACCGCATTCCGGGTCGCTTGCCCGCTGAATTCACTGAGAACCTAGGCTGCCAGGGGCGCTCGGCGAGGCACCATGCAGGTCACCTGGCCCTCCACCCGCACAGGATACCCCAGGCATCTCAAAACTCTGGGAATTTCTTTTTTCAATCGACCGTGGCCGGCGGTGGGGCTGTTCTCGCACACCAAAAGATGCCCAAATCTGAGCACTTTTTTGTTTTCCAGTGTTGTCTGTTGACTGGGTGGGGAAGGGGGGGAGGGGGGGGAGGGGGGGAAGGGGAGTAAGGAGTTCTGACTGAGGTGACCCTTAGCCAAAAGTTGTTTGCATTGCAATCCAACACAATGTAGTTCTTTGAACTTCTTTCCCCATTTTTTTTATGTCTTTAAACCACCACCGTTTGCCTCTCACAGGCAAACACAAAGTCCATCTAGTAGTCTACTCCTAAAAAGTCGGGGCTCGGGGAAGGTTTGGAGGCTGAAGAAAAGAAAAAGAAAAAAAAAAAGAAGAAAAAAACAAAAAAGAAAAAAAACCTAAAGAGTATTGAATCCAGTGACGTCCGGGAAGGCCCTCACAAAGTGGAAGTTACACCAGTGTTGAGGAATGTATCTGGCCGCTAAATGAGGAAGGTGATTGCTGGGTCCTTTTTTTTTCCCTCTCGATTTTTTTCATGTCCTTGTAGTGCCCTGCCAGTCAGGCAGGGCGTATTCCACGCGCGGGGACTAACTGTCTGATTTTAAGTGATTTACCTCATACTCACACTAGCGCTCTACCTTCTTCCCCCGAGTACAACGTACGGTCATTATAGCGGTATCTAGACTGAAAGATGCCTCAAATACAGCTTATAATGACCGTACACTATATTGGGGGAAGAAGACAGCATTCTGTATTGGCCCTCAATCACAGCATAAGGGATAGTTCCCCCCCCCCCCTCCCCCCCCCTACTTCGTCTGTCAGACGCGCTCACTGAGGGCACAGTCACACTAGAACCTCATAGCATTCTGTATCTGATGGTTATCACGGCGTTGAGGAAGTTCTTTTCTTTTTTTTTTCCCTTCTTCTTCTTCTTCTTCTTCTTCTTTTTCTTTGTTCCTTTTCGGATGCAACTGCCCGAGCTTGGCAAAACTCGGTGCGCATTGAAAATCAGGCTCGGCAAAAACAGGATCGGAGGTAGTGGTGGTTTAATTGTTTTTGATTTAGTGCGGTGGCTGAACAGGGACCAGCCTGGAGGTCCTGCCCTGCTGGGCAGCCACGCGTGAGCAGTCGTACTGGGGTACACGGAAAAACAGTCCAGCTGAAAACTACAGCTAAGCTGTAGCCGTCATGTCTTATCTTTGAGGGAAGATGGTGGTGGTATACACAGCATTGACAGCATTACCAACAACAAAAATCCTAGAGAAAAACTTAGCCCTGCAGCATTGATAGGACTATAGTCTACTAATCCCAAAAGAAAACGTAGTCCTCTAGCAACACAGTCCCGGCGGCCTGCCAGGGAAATTGATGGGCCTATGTTTGGTGTGGGACAGCAGTGTTGCACGACGGCCCTTTAACGGTTGTGGGTGTGCTAGGGCACTTTCTCTGCCACTCACAGTTGGGCTGGACCTGATAAGCACAGACAGGCACAGAGACTGCAATGCACGCAGGCACGTGAGAGTAATATGAATGTGGTATGATCACAATAAAGAGGTCTACAGTAAGACAAGGGAGTCGCAGTGGGCACATGAGGTGTATCAAGGAATGTGAACCAAGGCGACGACGAGGAGCAGGTTTACCATGTGAAAGGGGTTCGTGGAGGTGAAGGATGCAGAAAGTTTACCCCGAGGACGACAAGAATCCGGTTGTGACATCAAGGTTATCGCACCCAGGGGGCCAGGCGGAGGTTCTCTCTCTCTCTCTCTCTCTCTCTCTCTCTCTCTCTCTCTCTCACACACACACACACACACACACACACACACACACACATCCCAGACGTGGGCTCTCTTTAGATCCGTCATGTATTTTGGTCAATTGCATCTGTACACAATGAAGGATTGGAATGAGTCATTCCCTCCGTCTCTTACTCTCAATGATTCTATGCTCGTGCCATACACAACCTTCCGTACGAAGTACTACAAACTCCAGTCCCGAGTAGGAGGGGAACAGGGGAGAAAGTGCAATGCACTCTCACGCGATGACTTATTTCCATTTTGGGGGAGCAACCACTTGTCCTTTGCCCAGTGGATCAGCCGTTCACTTCCCTTTAAAGCATGCATTGACTGGGAAACATGGCTTACACTTCTGTCTTAGGAAATTTCAAATTTCCATTCTTTTAGCTAGTAAAGTAAACTAGCAAGAACTTGCAAAGCCAGGGAATGCAGCCTTTGAAATTGAACGACTGATAATCAAAGAAACAACATAACATCAAATAGTGATATTTCGTCGCTTTGTTTGTTAAATCATCACTGCGGCACTGCCCCCTTTTTTACGGGTGGTAAATACAGGGGAGCCAACACAGCCTTCGTGGGGCTACTACGAGGCTAAGGTTAGTACAATTTCGTTCTTTTTTTCTTTTTTTTTTAAACAAAACAGGTTTTCATGGGCAAATTAGAGCAATTTCTAAAATTCTCTAAACCACAATTTCAAGTTCAAATAAACAACATATATAAATTGTGAATCACGTTCCAAAACTCTAATTACCCAGCCGATGTGGCTGAATGGCCCACCCACGTAACTGTTAATAAATAGGCCCGGAGTTCGAATCCCGTGACGAATCACATGAACGGTGTAACTCTGAATTACCTGGGGCCCACCAGTGTGATGATCATACCCCAAGGCTGTCTCCACTTTAAAGTTTAAACCAACCACTACAAGGTCTTCAACTCCAATTTACAAGATGGCAGGCATACCGGAAACTTCTTACAGACTCTTACCTCAATGACGGCATACGCATGTCCATTGACTAGGCCATCACCGTCTCTCAAGCCTGTCGCTGTGCACTCGTCCTTCCCAGTGGTGCAGGCAACCATAACATAGCCACACTGGTCATACTTCTGCAAAAGAGGCCAGAACTCTGCAGCCACATTCCCACGGATAAAAGTTCATTCGTAGCCACGTCTCATCTCAGTAACAGACCTCCACTTGTTAACCACCTACCATAATGAGTGAAAGTTGCAAATGGCTGCTACTTGCTTCAGCTTAACTGTTGGAGGAGCAGAAGAAACGAAACTGAGCGGCAATGGAACCATAGATGAGATCAGTAGGTGTGACAATTTACTAATAAATTAACATCATCAACCATCTTGAATGGAAACCGCGAAAGGGAACACCTCCCACCCCCCCAAAAAAGCGGGGGGGGGGGGGGGGGGGGGGGAGGAGCGGGAGGGAAGGAGCGGCAACCGGCAACGACACCATAGATGAGCTCTTTACTGTAAAAAAGTCAAAAATATAATTCCAAGTATGACATGCCACATGATATACATTGTCATATATCTATAAATAAGAAGAGAGCACTCCGCTGACGCTCCTCAGAATGGATATGGAGCCAGGTCTGTGACGCTCTGTTTTCCCCAAAAAAGATAAAAATGATTCCAATCGTTACGGTAGCGTGAGGAGGAGAAGGATGCAGAGTGTTGACGCGCACGCACACACCTTCTCCAGAATGGCGCAGGCAATCCACAACGTAAACATATCAACATCAACAGGAGACGTCCATCCATCATGTTTGTCATGTTTCCTTTCCTACCTACTCCTCCTCTTCGTTCCTTTCCAACTCCTTATATCAATCCTCTTCCCATATACATCCTCATCTCCCCCCCTTTCTTCTTCTGATCTTCAGCTTCATTCTACCCTACCTCCTTTGCAAGTTCACACAGCGATAATGACCGGGCGCTCTATTTGAGGGAAGACAATAGGTTGACAACGTGTCACGCTACCATCTTCACCCGAATGGAATGTAGGGTCATGATCGCTGTATCTAGACTGAAAACTGCACCAAGTACTGCTACAATGTCTGGGGGCGATCTATTCGGGGGAAGACGGGTACACAGGGGAAGCACTGGGCTTTATAGCACTAGCAACATCATTATTAAAATTTTACAACAACGCTATTCTTGAACCTCCATCCTGCTTCTTGTCCTCCCTCCTACCCAATGTCAATTATGTACCAAGAAAAATGACGATTTCCTTAGAACATTAACTTGACCACTACAACTTCATACCTCCCTCGCCCCACCACCCCGCTCCCTTCCCGATACTTTCTCTTTACCTATCTTCTTCCCTCCTCCCGGAGCACGGCACCGTCTTCATCCGAACAGAACGCCCGGTATTTATCGCTGTATCTGGACTGAAAGTTGCCCCAAATGCCACTATAATGACCGAGCGGTGAGCATTCTATTCGGGTGAAGACGGTAGCCATCTTCTGAACATGGGATCCAGGAAGAGATTCAGATTGATATGAGCCGGATTAGTTCATCCCACAGAAATGAGAAATTCAGACAAGAAACACCCCGGCAGAAAGTCTAACATTACCACTGCTTTTTTTTTTCCTTTCAAGGGCGGAGCCTTGCTAGATATCATTGTTCAACTGACCAGCGCAAGGCAATTAAATTCAGAATTATCTTATTCTGGTCATCTGAATGCATCTGGATTCGAACTTGGGTATGATTCATATTTCAACAGTTTGTTGTGCGTGTACCCCCAACTGAGGTAGGCCTGTCGGTCAGCATTACCATTCTTTTCCTCCATGCGCTTGAATTCTGGGCTCGAGAATGTGAAGGACACGCATGGGGCGCCTGTCAAGTCTTGCAAGGCATCACTTGGAGACCCGCCAACGAGTTGCTCGTAAGAACCATGCAATTTCGCGTACGCCTTCTCCACCATCATCACCCACAGCTCGTTTGAAACGGAACGGGCTGGCAAAAAAATACGACATCGATGACAGACAGACACATCACGACGTATTCGCCCTCGTTAACAACCATTCACTCCACATTCATGACCGCACTGACTGGACAGAAGATTGAAGCATGGTGGTGTCATCCACAAGAAAAACAATAGGTTTGCTGAAGGTGTAGAAATCGATCGCTATTTCACGCGATCATCACACTGTAAACCGATACACATAATATATATTGTCACAGAACTATCGACTAAGAGCATACGCACATGAAGTAGAAGAAGAAATAAGATGAGCGAAGAAAAGAAAAATGAAAGGACAAACAGGCAAAGAGACAGACAAACCAGAATGACACAAACAGTGTCCTCTTATTCTTTGCTTCACAGTATTATTATTTCTTTCAGTGTTTTACAAAAAAAAAAAAACACTGAATCAAAGGATAAAGATAGAAAACAAAGACACATTGAAATCATTCAGTTTCTCGGTCTTCTTAACGCCTCCTTCACTATGTCTCTAGCGTACAAGGCTTGCCACGCTCATTTAGGCAATCAAGCCGGAAAGGTAGTAGCTTCTATGCGTTGATAGATCAAGGTGCGTTGTGTTCGGAGGTAGATTGTAGACTCAGCTACAACATATGGTAAGCTTAGGCTGTAAAACTCCCATACAAAGAGGTTTTCCACAAACGTGATTCTGCAGTTATTGTGCGGTTTCCCACGTGGATCGATCTCATAATCCCCATCGAAGACTCAGCGGCGAGGCGATCATAAGAGAAGAGTCTTACCTCTACTGGGTTGTTTAGTAGCAGGCGTGTTTGGTCACTTTCTTGCACTGTGCTATTTTCTGCGAGGCGATCATAAGAGAAGAGCCTTACCTCTACTGGGTTGTTTAGTAACCTCTACTGGGTTGTTTAGTAGCAGACGTGTTTGGTCACTTTCTTGCACTGTGCTCTTTTCTGAGTAAAGCTTGATACTCGTGATAAAAATGCAATTGTGCTGGCAAGTTGTGGCAACATATCCGGCCGGAATACAAGGAGAAGACATAGCCAAATATGGGTTCTCTTAGATCAGGGATAACAAGGGCAAATTCTTTTCCCCAAATGAGTGATTGGAAACAGGTGAGTTAGGACGCCAGCACAATTGCATTTTTATCACGAGTATCAAGCTTTACTCAGAAAAGAGCACAGTGCAAGAAAGTGACCAAACACGCCTGCTACTAAACAACCCAGGAGAGGTAAGACCCTTCTCTTATGATCGCCTCGCCGCTGAGTCTTCGATGGGGATTATGAGATCGATCCACGTGGGAAACCGTACAATAACTGCAGAATCACGTTTGTGGAAAACCTCTTTGTATGGGAGTTTTACAACTAAGCTACCATATGTTGTAGCTGAGTCTACAATCTACCTCCGAACACAACGCACCTTGGTAGCTGAGTCTACAATCTACCTCCGAACACAACGCACCTTGATCTATCAACACATAGAAGCTACTACCTTTCCGACTCGATTTGTCATCAAGGTAATGGCTCTACGAAATTGTACGAATTCATGTTCGCTGCGTTATGCGTACTGTACTCATGGATGACTCGATGATCAAAAAATGTCATGGCATGCAATTTTTCTGTTTCGACAAACGCACTTCATTTTTCATGAGGTGATAATGTGTGTAATTGAATTGTTATCTAGGATTTTAGGTGCCATTGTTGTCGCGTTTTCAGTTGGGATTGTGAAGTTATGATGCAAAATCGCTAATACGTAAAGATAGCAGACGTTCGCTGGTGAGAGAAGGTTAACGACAGTCGTATTTTTCATCACCACTTCAAGACACCCTTCACCACTTCAGGATGCAGCCGGCCTAAACAGGTGGTTTTCAGGGTCTTCGGACCTTTCACCACTTCAGGATGCAGCCTGCCTAAACAGGTGGTTTTCAAGGTCTTCGGACCCCTTTCACCACTTCAGGAGCATTCTCGATTTTCGGACCGCCCAAAACTCTCACTTCACCACATCAGGATGCAGCCTGCCAAAACAGCTGGTTTTCAGGGTCTTTGGACCTTTCACCACTTCAGGACCATTCGGGATTTTCAGACTGCCCAAAACTCTCACTTCAGAATTTTCATTCCTGAATTTTCAGCTACCCGTTAACCGCTTGTGGAGTGGTACATGCGTGTAACTATTAATAAAACAGGTGCTGCTGCAATGAACCTCTCAGTTCAACACCAATAAGCAAACATAATCACACAACATGCATGAATAAGATCACACAAAATTCACACTGGAGGCCAGAGAGATGAAGACCAGGTAGCGCAACTTCAGAATTCCAACAAAGTATTATACTGCATGGGTCCTGTGGACCATCTCACGCCAAAGTGTATAAATCATGCAACTTCGTCACTCTCAAAGAACTGTAGCCATCACACTTAGACAAGGGTAGGAGAGAAAAATGCTGCATGACGCAGCTTATATTATCAAAATTATGTTTACAAAGAGTG